CCAGGGGCATAGGCAGTCAGTACCTAGTACCTGTTCGCAATCTTTGGCTTACGATAAGTTACAAATTTTAAAAACATTTTCAGCCGAAACAGTCGATATGACATACAAGCGGATAGTAGGATCCTCTATACTTTGCAAAAATAAAGCATAAAACAAGATTCCGTGATCAAAGACGACTGAAAGATGGTCGCCGAATTCATATAAACAGCCGGCCATAAAGACCACCAAAATATTCAATAACCCCGGCCCTCTGGCCAAGTAAAGCGATACAAGAATAAACGGCACGCAGGCCGGAGAAAAGTTTGACAAAATGAAAGCCTTAAACATTGGGAGGAGCTTGAGTTTCAACTGCCGCCTGATCAAGCTTAGCGTCAGGTGCTTGATTCTTCAAAGCCCCCTCTTTTGACGACTCGCCTTCAGGGGCATGAGCTTTATGCGCATCCACCTCAATCAGTTGTAGGGCCACCACCTCCTGTTCCTCCTCTGAGCTAGAGTCAACCGCCTCGTCTTCCTCAGCCGCCTGCCTCATGATCTGTTGGTTGTACGTTTCGGTACAAGCGTTGAACTTTTTCTCCCAGGCGGCATAGTGAGTTTTTGGGAAGAGGGTCGTCCAAGTCATCTTCATGATCTGAGCCGAGTCGTCCATCATGGCCTGGACTAATTCCATTTTTTCTTTCTCGGCCTTGGCCGAAAGCTCGTTAGTGAGGCTCTTCTCCTGCTTTTGCAGGCAGTCTTTGAGAGCCGCCAAAGATTTTTCCATGGCCTCAAATTGGGTCATCTTCTGCTTAAGCGGCTTCAGCTCATCTCGGAGACCCTTGACCGTCGCCCCCAGCTCATTATTCTTCTTTTTGGCTGCCTCAAACTTGGTGCGGATAGTGGAAGTGGCCTGCGCCTGATAATAAAGAATATCAGTTGTTAAAATTTCATTTTGGGCAATTTGAAACATTGCCTTATCAACGTCAGAGGCGGTCATAGCTTTAGCAGCCTTTACCTCTTTGTTCTTGGCGCTGATCGGCCTTCGGAGGCCGTGTACTCTCAGCATGGTCTGGAAAAAGGAAAAACAGGCGTCAGATTTGAGAATAACAGGCGGCACGCAAAGTCAACACTAAAAATATTCTAAGTCTACCACGGAAAGGAGACCCATGATGCCATCTAGGTCAAGGGTGCTGACTCCCTTGACCGCATCCCTCTCCTCTTGAGGGACGGCCTTAATCATAGACTTGGCCATTTGGACCAAGTCCGGTTCTTGAGGGTCGCCTGCATCCAAAAAAGAGAAACATAAAAAACATGAAGAAAGCGATGAAGAAATAAGTTAAGTCTAGCAGAGCAGTTTATACTTCTTGGCGGCCGACTGTCCCTAAGGACGTGTGATGGTTTCCCCACACTTTGTAGGGTGATCGGCTGCTTGTAAGCCGACTGCTTCCTGGCAGAGCCAAGAGAGCTCCTAATCACCAGTTTGCGAGCCTTCGTATCCGGCTGCTGGGAAGAGGAGGGTTTGGACGTGCCCGCCTACGAAAAATATGAAATGGTCAATACTAATAATAGCAGGCTTTTAAGGCAAAGTTTGAAAGATTAGAAACTCACTATGGGCGTCTCCTTGGCAGGAGAATCAGAAGAGGTCCGCTTCTGATGCATGATGGAGGTCCGCAGCAAGGCGGCCGCCTTCTTAGATGCAGAAATCTGGTCCATAGCTTCAGCTGCAAATAAGAACCACAAAGAGTTAGAAAAAAAATTCGAAAACAAAGCAAAAGACGTATACATGCTCAAGTGGCCGGCTACCTCTGGAGGTCCGACTGCTAAGGCCGCAGGCGGCCAAAAAGTACTTGTCATAGAGCCATTGAAACTCTGGGACGCAGTTTAGGGGCACTTGCTCTCGTACCCCAGTAGTAGAGTTTTCCCTAATCTCTACTTTGAAAAGCCCTCGGTCCAAGATCTCTTCCCTGGCCTTGAAGGGAACAAGCGGCATGCTGCGACCGCCTGCTAGAAGAGGCGGATCTTTGTTCCACCTATTGTAGCGCTTGTTCAGCAGCTTGTTAGGGCTGGCAATGATGAGGAAGGTGTTTCTCCAATCCTTCCATTTATTTTATTTTCCCTTCGTCATCAGATAGCCGTTGTGGCTAGTTATTTGGTACCAGCTGGTACCGCTTGCTTTGGGGGTCCGGCTAAGATAGTTCATATGGGTGAACGCCTCAAAATTCGGCTTCACCCCATGCATTTCACATCCGGCTACATAGCCAAGGATGTTGAACCAGTAATTCGGGGCTAACTGCCATAGCCACACCTCGTATCCATCGAGGATTTGTTGAACGACCGGATGCAAGGGAAATCGAAGCCCAGCCTTAATGGCCGCCTCGTAGCAGCCAAAACAGGCATCACCGTAGCTTGTTCCCGCGGGCCAGACGACTGTATCCTCACCATCCGGCACAAATACTTGAAAATCAGGACCCATCACATGGTCCGACAAAAAAGAGTCTATTCGTTCTTTCATGGCCTTGATCCGGCCCTTTGGGACATGACAATAGTAAGGAGTATTCAACTCCCTATGAGAGGCGGATGGTTCCGACCAGCCGTCCCCCTTTTCAGCAGCATGAGAAAGTCTCGCCTCATGCAAACGATAGTGCCTTTTTGCTGACTGTCCAGGTCAACAGTGAAGTGGGAAGGGGCTACCTTAGCTCCCTCCTCAGAGCTCTCGGCAGAAGGGCCACCTTGGGTCACTGCGGTATCAGGCGGCTGGTCCGACAGCTCACTAATCTGAACCCGGAAAGAGGAGCCATTAGAGTTTTCAATCCTCTTTGTCTTTTTTGTTCTTGCCATACTGTCCTGCATAGATACAAAGACAGTTGGATTCCGGGACTTGCGCAAAGTTTGAAGTACCGCAGGGCAGTCGGCACCCCTAGTCCTAGACTCAGCCGTCCCCGGTGACCGGCTGATTGCTAACCTAGGTCGTGCCGGATGCTTTTGAGGTCTCATTTTCAAAAAAGAAAGAAAAAGTGCAAAAGCAAAAAAAATAAAGGAACAGACGGTTACCTGAAACTTAAGTTCTGAAGGAGAGCTTGATCGAGCAGACGCCTAACAAAAGCAGTCGTCCTATCAGAAATAATCGGCGTCAAAAGTTGGAAAGTTTCAGAGCTCAAGTTCAGGGGTCCGAGAGTTCTCTTGAAAAGTTCGCAAATGTGAACAAAAGACTTGGTCAACATGCCCTTATATAGGGCAAAAGGAGAATGTGAAGGGTCGCCTCCAAATTTAAAAAACGAGCGGGAAAAATGCTCGGCCCGTCATAGGGCGACACCTGTAGCAAGTCGTCGCCTGTTAAAGGCCGACACCTGTCACAAGTGACATGTGAACCGTCACGTGCCACCTGTGAGGGGCAAATGATTAGGGGATTTTTCCCTACCAATCATCACCTGACAAGTGGACCATTCATGCTCTGCCAAGTGTCCGCCACATGGACCAATTGGAGCCTGCCACGTGTCAAGTGTTGATCAGTCCACCTTGGACCTCTTATGCTACGACACGTGCCCCCCCCCATGCCAAATGGGAAAACCGACCACCGTGGCCCAAAGTCTTATGGAAGCCCAATCAGCCCTAGGTTGACCTAAACCTAGGACTGGCACACATCCCAAGGCATATAAATACCTTCATTAATCCTCATTAATGTGGGGGTTAAGAACATTAATTACACTGACCTAAACACTTAGATCACTCCTCACCTAGAGGAACCAGATCTCCCAACCTTTACTTTTCCGCACTATTCACTCCTCATACACGTTCTAACTTGATTGTCGGAGGCGGAACTCCCACCATAAGGAGTCTTCGTTGTTTTGTAGGTACAGGCGCAAGGATACCAGTCCCGGAATTGTAACTCTCCCGCATGACATCAAAAAACCCCGAAATAGGTACTACGACTATTTTTGATGGAGGAGGCTCTTTCGGCATGGCACAATCAACTCTACACTTAGAGGCACAGGCTTCTACCAGGCTTTGCAATGGGCATATGGTTTTTAGGTAAAAGAGGTGCTGATTGTAACAGATTGTCCAAACTTAGCTTCAAACCTGGAACGTACTAATGTCCGGAATATTTCCTTATTTTGGACTTTTGAATCAATAAAACGCTTGGGTGGTAAGTTTGACTTTTGTACAATCTTAAAGGTTTATCGTGACAGGGTTCATCAGGCATATGATATTGCTAATATGTGTCGCATTTCAAGTTCTACTTTTTCTTATAGTACTTTGTTTCTTGTTTTAGCTGTTGTAAAAAAAAATGATGGGGGAATTTATACTGCTTTTGGGGTGTGTGCTCCTACGTTTTAAACCAAAAATAATGAAATATGATTAGCTAACAATGTTGCACGCTTGACATGTGTCTTAGATTTCCACCGTTTTATATTAGTAACTCTTTTGGGCTCCCTCGAGGATCATTTAAACTTCAAATTTCAAAAGCTTTCATAGTGTTTCAAAGTGAAACTTCCGAAAGCAAATTAAGCAAAACCCTATCTTCAAATAGTCGAAAGCAAGGTTAGTACTTGTGCTTCCTATGTCTATGTGTACCCTTTTCTAATAATTTACACTAATTAAAGCATACAATCAGTTGTCTTTCTAATTTAACTACTTATTCCTCTAATCTAGACTCTATTCTAGATGATGTTTCATTTTCTTGTAAGCAATTTGATTTCGTTTCCTAGTCTCATATTAGAAGGGATGCGAATGTTGTTGCCCATCACCTTGCTATTTTAGTGCCTTTTGGTTCCGAGCAAGTTTGGGAGAACTTTTGCCCTTCTGTAATTTCTTCTTATATACAATTGATTAATGATTTGACACTTAACTTTTCTTTGAAAAATAAACTATACAATAAAATTTTTTTTTTTTATTTATTTTCTTTTTTTCACAACAAATTGCACCCTTCATTTCCAATGACTAGTGGCTTGAAAAAAATAAAAAACCAAAAGCACAGAGTAACAGACACATGAGGTGAATGATGAATCATCTTCAGCCTCTCCTCAACGATAAGAAAATCCTCCCAAAATCACAAACACCCACAAAAAAACCTTATAACAATCCTCATTACCTTTTCTTCCACTCTTTTTCTCTTGCAAAATCCCCAAACACTTAACCAAAAAAAACACCACCATTTTCATTTCAGTGTATCATCAGTCCAACAATGGCGTCTACTGCAGCAACACCCACCTCATTCTCTCTCCTCCAATCTTCTTCCTCACACACTTCCTCCTCTACTCGCTCTCCCTCCTTCGTCCGCCTTGCATCCACCCTCCGCCCTCCTCTCCGCCGTCTAGGATTCGTCGGTTCTGCCGCTGATGCCAGCTTCTCCTTCCATGTTGTCTCGAAGATCCAATCATACAAATCACTTTCTTCTAACCCCATTAGAGGGGTTGCTTCAATGGCTAAGAAGAGTGTTGGCGACCTCACCTCTGCTGACTTGAAGGGGAAAAAGGTGTTCGTTAGAGCTGACCTTAATGTCCCTCTTGACGATAGCCAAAACATCACTGATGATACTCGAATTCGTGCTGCTATTCCTACTATCAAGCATTTGATCAACAATGGTGCTAAAGTCATTCTTTCCAGTCATTTGGTATGCGGGTTTTCGCTATTTTTCCGTTTCATTTTCTGGGGTTTTCTTACTTTTTTAATCCAATTACTGCTCCCCCAATGTTTGATGCTAATTTTAATTGGGTTTTGATTATTATTTTTGATGGATAAGCCATTTGTTTAATTCTGTCATTTGAGGTTTTATCTTTGTTTTGCTTGATCATTTTGTTTACACTATGCTTTTATTCTGTTTAGCTTGTATGATTGACATTGTAATGTGTGATTATTAACTTGAGCTGATCTTAATTTACTGCAGCTGCCTAATGTATTCGACTGACAGCTCGAAATATGGGTAAAATGGTTATGTTTGTATTTGGTGATTTTGGGTTGATCTTGAAATTCAGTATTTAAAAACCTATGTTGCATGTATGATACTTACATTGTATGAGAAATCGATTAAATCCGTTCTGGTTTTGTTTTGAATAGTGTTCGTGTCGTGAATCTGGATTTGTCTCAATGATTTGTACTCTGTTGGTTGCAATAAGGACTTTAACTGATGATTAATTTTACTCATTGTCCTTTATCCTGGGTTTTTGTATGAAAATGCTGACTAATCTGAGGTTCTTCATAATCTGCACATACAGTGCTTAGTAATTGTGTAATGGCTGTTTAGATATCCTGGGATTGTATGGCTTGTATTTTCTTTTCATATTTTCTGTCATGCCTTATGACCTTTGTTATTGTAGGCCTTTTTTTTTTTTTGGAAAAATTGCTTCAAATAATACGACCTTTAGCCCGTCCGCTAAAAACAAGTCCACCTTTTGATTATCCCAGAATAATACCACCTTTAAGGGGTGTCCACTTTAAACAGGTTATTTTACCTACAACCTCAGTAACCGGTTATATTTTGTTTTTTCTTTTTAATAAATTCATTTAACAATGTAATTAATCTTAATAACAACTTTAATTATGATTTTATTAACAATAAATCAAAAAAACAAAATAAAAAAAAACAAAAAAAAAAAAATCAGCCCCCTCCTCCTGCCCCTGCCACCCATCACCCTCCTCCCTTACCATCCCTCCCCCACCACTCCCTTACTTACCCACCTTTTCACCTTCTCTCCTCCTCCTTACTCCTCCTCCTTACCCATGTCAATGCAGCCAACCCCACCACCCCTTAAACAACCCCCGTCCCCACCACCATTGTAACAGTTCGGTTGCCCCTGAAACCGCTTGTCGTTCCCACTCAACAAATCGCACAACCAAAACACTCCCCTGCTCCCTCGATTTCCCCACCTTTGCACACTCAAATCAACACCATCAGCAACCCAATTACAGCAAAACAACAGCAACTCAACACACCACGCAACGCAGCAGCAAGCTCCGGCCAGCAGAGCCTAACCGCAACCACCAACGGCCGTCGCAGCACCACCAATTAGCAACAAGTTCTTCGGAGCCTCGCAATTCACCCACAAAACCCCCATTTTAGCTAAATCAATTATCATCCCACCGTCTTGCTTTGATGGGGCTTGAGATTACTTCATCAGTCCATATAAAACTTTAGCGACCTCAATTTCATTGGCGTCTTGTGTCGACGGCGACGATTTCGAAGACGATTTTGGTGGCCGTTGTTGTTTTGGTCCATTAGCCGCCTTCTACACCGGAATAGAACATAGTCAAATCCACAGAAACACATACAAACATCACTGGAGAAGAAGGGGATGAATTTGGGTTGGCTGGGGTCGGGATGCCGGCAGTGGTGGTGGTGGGGCTGGTTTACGTTTAGGGATGGGTTTATTTTTTTTTTAATTTTCTTTTTTTTTTAACCAATATAGCAATAATTTTAAAAAGTTAAAAACATTAAAAAAAATATACATATATTTTCAGACCAATAAAATGATGACACGTGTCCGTATAACCTATTAATCAGGTTACCAACAGGTTACAACTTGTTTAAAGCAGACACCCCCTAAAGGTGGTATTATTCTGGGATAATCAAAAGGTGGACTTGTTTTTAGCGGACGGGCTAAAGGTCGTATTATTTAAAGCAATTTTTCCTTTTTTTTTAAAAAAAAAAAATAAATTATTTTGAATCTCTAACAATATCTAGGATTATGACATATTAAGCTAATGCTTTCCTGTAAAATTTGCCAATGCCTAGGGTATCGATTTGGAATGTCAACTAGCTGTGCGGAGATTTATCATTTGCAATTGAAGTTCTTATCTTTATATCGTCATAGTAGATGTGGTGCATAATTTGAGACTTTGCTTCATAGTTATTTGTTCAGTTATAGGCTCATATGCATCATCTCAACCTGAATAATGTTCTCTTTATGACATGATTATGTGAGTTGCTTGAAGATTTTCACTTGTAATGTAATTTGCTTAAACATTATGTTTAGACCTTTTACTCTGACGAACACTATATATAGCCAGCATCTAAACATTTTTCTATTACTTTTTACCTCATTAACAAATCCTATGGGAACTTGGTGTTTTCAGTGCTCTCCAAGTAACAGAAAGAATACTCCATTTCTCACTAACCGTCTTCAATTTGATTCGTAATCTGGATATAAGGCTTCTAAAAATGGAATTGTCAATTTTTATGTATCTTAGTACCTTTTTCCAAGCTTTTTTATACATATGTTATTTTTTTTTTTTATTCCATCAGATATTTCCATTTTGTATTATACATTTAATCCTAGTATAAGGAATTTGTCTTCCTTTTGATTTCTTAAGGTGTGCATGTGTTTGTTTTAGTTATTTTGTAACGATTGGCTCGAATTCGTCACAAAAATTTATGTCACGCTAGATACTGATGTTTTCAATTCACAATTCCTACATTTTTTATTTCACTGAATTCATTTTTAATTGTCCCTTTTCTCTCTCTCTCTCTCTCTCTCTCTCTCTCTCTCTCTCTCTCTCTCGGTTTTGCTATTGTACTGTCTTCTTGTGTATCTTATTTTGTATATATCGCTATCCCTCTCACATATTAATACAACTAACATCAAGTTGAGTGATTTTATTTTCATTGCGTTCTTTGTTTTGGTAAGTAATTGTCAATCATCTGCAGGTTTGGCTATCCATGTTGTGATTCCTTGGGTTGGCAACTTGGCATGCATTCTTTTGCAGCATAATTAGCTTTCACCACTAATTTTAATTTGTATCTACAAGATTTCTTTCTTTCTTTCTTTTTTTTTTTTTTTTTTTTTTTGATATTTTGTTTATGACAGATGATTGCAATTAATTTCTTTGCTGCTTATAGTTTGTACACTAGTATCTTTAGAAAACACAGAGGTTATATTGAAATTATTGGAGATCATAACTCGTCATATCTTTTTATTGATATGATGCCCTTCACGTAGTGTGTTGGTATTTATTTTCCCTTAAGCCACATTTGAAACCGATGGAATTTATATATGAAGTATAATATATGTATTACCATTGAGTTCATACAACTTTTCCTTGCAACTTCATTGCAGACTTCTCTCATTTATATGCTTACTTGTCAAATTGTTGGGTTCATTTTAACTGCCTGCATCCATATCATATTTCTAGGCACATAAACTTGATGCACGAGGCAGATGGCTTAAAAGTTTAACGTAATAACGAAATTTTGTAGTTTTTTACTGTAATAAATTTCTTTTGCTATTGTTTGCCTTTCTCTTTGTTGCTGGTACACTAGATTGATTTTTCGTCGATTTTGATGCACTGCAAAACTTAATATTAATCTATTGTCCTGTATAGGGGCGGCCTAAAGGTGTTACTCCGAAATACAGCTTGGCACCACTTGTACCCAGACTTTCTGAACTCCTTGGTCTTCAGGTAACATCCTGTGTTCCATGCTCCAAATTCATGATTATTACAATCTTCAAACAGTGGCTGACTTTATAGAGAATTTCGCTATCTGAGATCTATTAACATTATTCAACCTCACATACCTTTCTTTCACTGCATATTGTAACTAATTATAATTTGAAGTTAACAGGTTGTGAAGGCTGATGATTGCATTGGTCCAGAGGTTGAGAAGCTTGTTGCTGGACTCCCTGAAGGTGGTGTTCTGCTGCTTGAGAATGTTCGATTCTACAAGGAAGAAGAAAAGAATGATCCTGAGTTTGCACAGAAGCTTGCCTCCTTGGCAGATCTTTACGTAAATGATGCTTTTGGCACTGCCCACAGAGCCCATGCATCAACTGAGGGAGTTACTAAATTTTTGAGGCCATCTGTTGCTGGCTTTCTCTTACAGAAGGTAGACGCTTTTTATTCTTTTTTTCAAGCTGCTTCTTCGAGATCTCTAGAAATCAAGGAAAGAAATGTCATGCATGTACTTCAGTTAAGCAGAGGTTTGAACTTTTCATATATACAGTGCAGAAGAAGCTTTGCTTACAGCTTGCCTTGCTGCTTACCAGAAGCTTACATTTACTCTGATTTTCATTTGGAGTTCCATAAGGATTTTTTTCTAAAATCACAAAAACTGGTCCTTAATCGTTATCTTCTGTCTATTTTTATGGATCATAAATATTGGGAACTTGTCTTGTGCTATTTTACTTCATCTGATATGTTACATAATTGAGTTTTTTTGGCATAATTGATTCTCTGTATAGCACAACACCACCAATGACTAGCTTAAATCATGTTTGGCCATTCTCATACCTACATAAACCCCCCCTCCCCTCAAATGAAAAAGGAGAAAAACAAAGGTGCTTGAAATCTCTTAGCTGACTGTTAGGTTTCCTTTCCTCACTTTTGAGGAGATTCTATCATTCGAATTCAACATTATTAATCATTTTAATAAATTTGGATTCTTTTGTTGTGGATCAGGAATTGGACTACCTTGTTGGAGCTGTTTCAAACCCAAAGAGACCTTTTGCTGCTATAGTTGGTGGTTCAAAGGTATCTTCCAAAATTGGAGTTATAGAGTCACTTTTGGAGAAATGTGATATTCTACTCCTTGGAGGAGGTATGATCTTTACATTCTACAAAGCTCAAGGTTTATCAGTGGGATCTTCTCTGGTGGAAAACGATAAGCTTGAGCTTGCAACTTCTCTCCTCGAGAAGGCCAAGGCAAAGGGTGTGTCTCTTTTGTTGCCTTCTGATGTTGTTGTGGCGGACAAGTTTGCTGCTGATGCTGACAGCAAGGTAAATTATCTTTTTACAGCAATTATTATTTTTTCATTTTTCTTTTTTTCTTCTTTTTTAAACCTGGGAGTCTGAACATTTCTTGGATTTTGGATGGATCAGAATGGAAGAATAATAAAATTATATACTACCTCCGTTTCACATTTTTTGCAACTTTTCAAAATTTTCCATTTATAATAAAGTTTTTAAAATGATATTACTAAAACATCCTTACTAAAATATTCATAAGCTCAATTAGTTATTTAAAACAAAACTTAATAAAATACTAATCTAACTTAATTAATCAAATAATTTCCCCAAATCTAATTCATTTCCCCCAATTCACCAAACAAGCAACATTCAACCCTCATCAATTTTTTCCAGAATTCAAACCCAATTCTTGAAGTTCTTCTTCAATTCCTTAGTTTCTCCTATCCTTCAATCTGACTTCTCTCTCTCCTCACAAAGACAAACAACCAGTATCGGAGATCTATGCGTGGACGAAATTGACGGAAGTCCGTGTTATATGGTGGTGGTTGAACCGCCATTTACGAATGAATGGCGAGGTAGGTCGGTGGGTTTTTCGATGAGGTGGTCGATGGGTAAGTAGTTTTAGAGGGTGTGGTAAGTGGGTTGGGTTCGATTTGTGTGGGGTTTTACGGAGTGGTTGTGTGGTGGTTGTGGGGGTAGTTTTAGGTTTTGGGTGGTCTGGTTGCGACGGGGTGGATATATCTGATGGTTTCGGGTTTGTACTGTGCAGGTGTGTGGTGGATACAAGGTGGGTTTTAGGTTTTGGGTTTTGGTTGTGTGGTGGGTACGAGCCTAGCGTGGTGGTTGGGTGGTGCTTGTAAGGCTGGTGTTGGTGTCTTTGTACTAGGGTGGTGTTGCGAAGGTGGTGGCTTGTGTGGCGGGTGTTATGGAGGGTGGTGGTGGCCTGTGTGGTGGTTGGGCAGTGCTTGTTAATCTATCCCCATTTTCTCTCTCTTCCTTAATCACATGCCCCTCTCTTTTCTTAATCTCCATTTCTCATTTTTTGCCTAGAAGTCCGTCTTGACTCCAAAGTTGCTAATATGTGAAACGCAGGTAGTAAAGCTTTTTTGTTACTGACAATCAGTATGATGTGTGGCACATTGTAGATTGTCCCTGCAGCTGGAATCCCTGATGGCTGGATGGGATTGGACATTGGACCTGATTCTATTAAGAAATTTAGTGATGCTTTGGACACTACCCAGACAGTCATCTGGAATGGTCCCATGGGAGTCTTTGAATTTGACAAGTTCGCTGTTGGCACAGAGGTAAGACATTGTTTGCTTATGCCTTAATAAATTTTGAGGTACTCTGCTGAATCATGATTGATCTGTAGTTTCAATAATTACATGTATCTGATAAATTATTTCACTGATAGATGTGCTTTTAAGATCTGTAAGTCATGATCCCAATCATTTTTGTTTTCATTTTGCTGCAATTTGGCACTTAGTCATTTGTTTATCACCAGGGTAAAACCCATTTGAAACTTTGTCCTTCAGGATCTGAGCTATATATGCTGTTTGGTTCTTGCTTTGCTAACTCACCCACACAAACAACTCTTTTTGCTATATTGATAATTATTGAACATCATGATCTTAAATATTGTTCATTAACGTTCTGAATTTTGCTTCTCGTTTGCAGGCTATTGCCAAGAAGCTAGAGGAGATTAGTAAGAAGGGTGCAACCACAATTATTGGTGGTGGTGACTCTGTTGCTGCAGTAGAGAAGGTAGGAGTCGCAGAGGCAATGAGCCACATATCAACTGGTGGTGGTGCTAGTTTGGAGCTGTTAGAAGGCAAAGAACTTCCTGGAGTGCTTGCTCTTGATGAAGCCGAGCCAGTTCCGGTTTAAGACAAGTTCATCACGGAATACAAATTCTATTTTTTCTCATCTTCCCTTTCCCAGGTTCAGCCTCTTAACATGAGTTTGTAACTGAGAAACAGATATAAAATGAGCCTCTTTGTAGATACCATTATTTGCAATAAATGTGTTTGATGTTGATCATATGAAGATGTTGCACAAATTTTGTGGAAATACGTATTTCATACAGAAGAATCATGATGTTGACGTGTTGTTTGGGGTGTATCTATAGTATTTATAACTCATACATGCGCACAAGTGTTGAAATATATGGCATTGAATTTTTACAATAGTTTAATACGGAAAATATTTGAGTAATTAGAATATACAGTACAAGCTTAGAAACACACAAAGCATGTGTGTGCAAATGTGCAATATAAGAAACTTCTCCTTACTCAAATAATAAAAAATAAAAACAATAAATATTAGTGGGAGTATATTTTAAAACAACGCATTTTCTGTGTGGTCATGTGGTCGTCTGCAAATAAAATGAAGTAGCCTCTTTAACACTAATGTAGTAATTAATATTATACTAATAGAGTAACCCTTATTATACTGTCGGAGTAACCTTTATTATACTAATAGAGAAACCCTTACAACATTGAAAGGTCAACCCCTATATTACTAAAAGAGTAACCCCTATAACAGTAATAGAGTAACCCCATGGTGGCTCTAAAAGTTTGTGATACACGCTATCTCTATATGCATGCGATGCGTGCGTGATTGATATGTGAAAGCATATAAGTATTCATGTGCTTTAGAAATTAAAATATCTATTAACCTTAATGTAACACGTGTCCTTCCTCAACCTTAATATCATTTAAAAAATTAAAATAAATATTTTAAAATGAAAATATAAAAATATATATATCATTTAAAAAGTTAAGTATTTAAAAAATTAATATCATTTTAAAAATATATATGTTAATTAAAATAAAAAAATTCTAACCAATCTTAATCTATCACTTGTCCTTCCTCAGCCTATAAAACAGGTTACCAGTTTTATAAAGTTATTTATAAAAGATGTGTGTCAAAGGTCGTTTTATTCCGAAATAATAAAAATGTCGATTTATTTTTATAATACATGTAAAGGTCATATTAGTTTTATAATTTATAACTCCGTATTTTTTTTTTAAACATATTCAAAATTACACCAATAACCCTTACAATAACAAAAATCGCACATGTGAAATATTCTAGAATTTTTAACTGTTTATTACATGATTTCTTTTTTTTTCCCTTAATCATCGTTTTTACAACTGGTTAGGATATTCCCCTATCTAGATCACCCCCACTACCCCCCCCCACCCCCCCCCCCCCCCCCCCCTCAACACACAAGACACACACTTCCCTCAATTTGTTATTCAATGGAAAATATTTTATCCTTTTCCCTTCACTTATTTTCCTTCACTTCCATAGTATCCAAAAATTTGCTATTTATAAAGAACTCTATGGTAATGTTAATTCACAATCTATTTTCCTAATCCAAATTAAAGCTGCTGGACAAAAATGCAGCTTAGCCTTAAATGCAATTCTGTGGACAATGTAAGTAACCAAAAAGATAAATTACAGAGTTCAAGGTCTTTAAACAATACCAATACAATAGTTTACTAATTGAGCTACAAGACTTGTGCCCTCTTTCGCTTTCGGTTTTTATCTGCTAGTTTTTGCTTCTTACGTGCTTTCACTCTATCCTCAAAGCCATCATCCAACATCTTCATATTTGCGACCCTCCTTGCCTTGGTAACCTACAGGACATAAGAGGTTTTGCAAGAAAAAGGTTAAATCACTCCCGCCTCAAGTAAATACAGTGTATATAAAGAAGAAAGAAATCTAGCAAAGAAACAAAAGTAAAATCAGAATTACATGATCTGCTTCCCAAAAAAAAAAAAAAAAAAAAAAAAAAAAAAGGCAGATTCTATCTTATGAGATAAAAAGTCTACATGATGTTCTTAGACAAAACCCTTGTTCATGACTAGATCTACACTTATAACTATTGTTGTTTTTTGTGTCCAAGACATGTCCATGACTTGTGGCATGCTATCATCAGCCTAAATAAGCAATGGAGGACCATTGCTAAGTAGTTCACATTGAACAGAAGAAAAGATATCAGAAAAGAGGCCTAAAGAATTGAGAAAGTGGTTCATTAATCTTCTTTACTTGAGGGACACATATCAGTTTTCCATGTTCTGCAAACTTCCACAGCCATTTTCCACAACAAAAAAAGGCCATCCCTTTCTCACTTTGAATTCCTTCAACTCATCCTCCGTCTCACCACCTATTTCAACCCAAAGCTCCATGGTCCATTAATTTTTGTTTACATAATGGACAAAATCTGTTACCATATTTCTACAAACTTCCAAGATTTCTACAAGGGTGGTCTCTTATCTCAACTTCTTTTACATGGCACCAAGATCACTGTCATCCCTCGTCAAATTTTATCATAATCGAAGCCCTACCTCGAGATGGTCTAAATCAACCTATGTGACTACGATTTTAGAGTGGAGTTAATCACCCAATGACAAAAATTGCAATTCTTTGTGGTTACTTACCTTTTGACAAGTTAGAAGCCTACAACTTGTAACTTGTAAGGTATGTAGGAGGAATTCTGTTAACTTTGAGCTATACTAAAGGCTGATTGTGAGGTTGTTGCATAGTAATGCTGTATTTTTTGAGAAGGTGAGAGGAGCGTTGATTGCAACATCGGTGATGGGCTAGCGGTTGTTTGAGAGGCGGTGGATGTAGTGACAGAGGCAGATGCCAAAGGTAGCAAGGAAGAGTTGTTTGCCAAGGATGGAAGTACAAAATTATGATATTGTGATCTTTTTGGAGTGTGGTTGTGTAGTATAAGAGAGTTACAAAAGGAAGGAGGAAATTCTGAAATTACCACAGAGGATTGCTAAGAACTCCAAAAAGAAAAAGTGGGAAGATAGTAGAAAGAATAGCCAGTTAATAAGGGAAATAGGGGTTTGTATTACATTACCTTTTTATGAATTTTCCCAACCAAAAAACCAATTAGATAAAGTATAGAAAGAAATTAGGAGTACATCACGAATATGTTCACTTCACCTGAACTTATGTACTCGGTCAAATCTTATTTAGTTCTAATCTGGATTGATCTGAATTTTTTTATCTAGTCTGATTTTTTTTTTTTTTAAATTATGAATTATTTTAGTCTGGTCTGATGTGATTTTATGTACTATTCTGACAGACCTTTGACTGTATTTTTAAAAATTAATATAAGAAAAAACATTACGAAGGGAAATTTTGTCAGATTCATTCCAATGTGTAATTTCTATGTAATTTTCATTTTTCAAATCTACCCCTAACCCGGAACCTGACTCCTGCTAACCTGTGACTATGTTAGGTTCTGCTTACTGAAATCTTAATTTTTATAATTGTGCATTTAAAGATATATAGTAGTAAATAAACAATAACTAAAAGCATATTAGTCTGAGATAAGTTGAAGATAACAAATTCTAATAATCTAATTCAAGTACTCCAAATTCTTTAATCAACATAACAGTCAAACACTGAAAGTGTATTAGTGATCCAGGGAAGACAATTGCACCCAGCCTTACCCCAACTACTAATTTATTTCACTGTTTGATATCTTCATTAGTGGATTTTGATAAACTATGCCATTATAAAAGGATGGAGCAGATTATTTATCAATTCTATATAATAATCTGAAATCCATTGGATATTTATTGCTAAAGCATACCTCATTGTAGTTGTTGTGTCATGTGGCATACAACATTGTGATTAAAAACAAGTTACTGATTACTAATACCTTGCTAATTTGCTATAATTTCATTAAACCAGTAATATGTATGATGAGCAGATAGTAATGGTGATTGATATGAATGTTTAGAATGTTGGAATAGCAGTTTCTTTATTTATTTATTTTTATTAGAGTGTTTTTTCTCTTATTTTCAACTATTGTAAGTCAAGGTAAAACATATCAGCACTCTCACCTTGGTCATCTCGGCAACCACCTCTTTTTCTTTACATTCAAACTTTTCCATTTGCTTACCAAGTGTTGCTTCTATTCCATGTAAAAGATTCACATCATTCTGCAAAAAATAATGAGCAAAAAACATGAAGCCACCAGAAAAACAACTGTTTCATCATTGCGCAGACAGAAATGTTAATTCTCACCCCTGATACAATGCTCAGCACAAGTCCCTCTCTACCAGCTCTTGCAGTACGTCCTGCACGATGAACATATTCAACAGGATCCCTGCAGTCATCAAATTTTAGCATAAAGCATATACATGGTATTACTTCATTAGATAACAATTTCCAAGTAGATTGTGAGCATATAACCTTGGTACGTCATAAAGTATGACTAGATCCACCATCGGAATATCTAGCCCGCGTTCAACAACTCCTGTAGCCAGCAATATAGGAACTTTCCCAGACTTAAAACGGTGAACAGAAGCTTGTCTTGAAGACTGAGGTATCATTGAGTTCAGCTCGGCAACCTTGAATTCAAGTTCTTCCAACATCAAAGCCAATCGGTGGCATGTCCTATTTGCAAGAGCAAGATGCCTAACTTTGAGATTAACTAGTCTTTGAGAATAATATTTTTAAAAAACTTCTTTGATTTTTGGATTAAATCAATATTTGAACAAAATTAATTTATTAAAAAAAGGATTTAGGGAGAAAATCTAATTTTTTTTTTTAAGTGAAGAATAATTTTTATAGAAAACCATATTTTTCTTGAAAAGAATAAAAAGAATAATTAATGATGAAGATACCAGCTACCACTAATGAAAAGCATCAAAATTTACTTCCATACTAGATAAATAACAAGTTCATTGTAACACTCTCTTACAGTTCATGTTATTAAAAGCAAACGAATCCAGAAAATGAATTTTTGATGTAGAACCCCAAAAGACCTAATATCTTGATATGCTAACTACGTAATAATTGTATCATAATATTACTAGATTATCTTTGTTACATACTTACATACCTGTATTCAGAAAAGAATACAATGACTGAGCGAACACTCATATCTTCCATCTTTGATAAAACATATCGAAGATATACATCCTTGACATGTTCAGGAACAGTAAGATATTGTTGTCGAAGAGACTCCACAGTCTGAAGGCCTTCATGTGCCTCAAAGAAGAATGCCTTGTTAGAAGATAACTCAAGCAATGCTGTTAGATCATCGGTCATTGTTGCAGAAAATAATAAAGTT